CTTTTTGCCTGAGGTTAAATATTAAACATTATTACTATAGATTTATCAGCCTTGATATTACAATATTTGCTTAGGTCATATTTAAATATAAGTTTCTTTGATATTAGTGTTAATAGCATATAACAACATCCTCTTTAGATAATGTAAACAAGAGGACTTCAAAAATAAAGTACAGGGTTTGATATGTTTTGAGCATTTTCATACAAACTGTAATTATTATTTGCTTTAGTACTGGGAGTTCCAAAGGCAACTTCATGCATAGACTTACCTCGGAAAAACTCATTCTCCAGTAGGGAAGCGTCCCACGGAGGCACACCGCTTCCCTCCCTCATGCCTGCTGGCTTGGGGACAAATGCACTGTCAACTGGTTGATTTTCCAGATGTGAATTGTATAGTTTTGCCTGCTGATTTTAAAATAGAAAATGCAACATTATTTCTGGAACTTCTCTAGCTAGAATACTCACATGTTCCCATAAAACTGTCCCAGGCTTAAAGGTACTAGTCTAAGGACTGCAAATCAATTTTCCTAACAATTTTTTCCCAATTTACAACGTTTTGTTGTTTCTTCCATTTTCAAGTGGTCAAAAATTTCTCCATACCTACATTAATTCTCTTTGGTATGAGTCTTCAGGCAAGATATTGAGTCTCTCTCTGCCAAAAATCCCTACAAACTTGCATAGCACTACACAAATATTAGGGAGGTTCCTGGAAAACAGGAAAGAAATTTACCTATCGTTAGTTGGGAGTGTTGTCTCCATGGCTCCAATAGCTGGAATTTCAGATTTTTAAAAACACTGTACCTAGTCTATCAAAATCTGGATACCTGAAGCTTGTAGTGGACCTTAAGAATTTGTGGACTTGATAGATTTTTTGGAGGAAAAAGTGTTTCTATCCATAGAGTTCACAAAGAATGGTAGAACCTCCCAGACAGACACAAGGTGCCGATTAATCATTCTGAAACAAAGGTGCTGAAAAGTACAGCCTTATAATTTTTTTCCAAAAAGACCATTGTTAGTTTTACAGGATTTAGAATGATGTAGAGCTAAAGTTGTTTTCTTAATTAGTAAATGTTTATTTTGACGTCATCCAATCTATCACTGCCCTACTTTCAAGCTTTGTCTTCATAACCTTGGGGAACTATCCACTCCCATAACTTCACTCTCTTTTGCCTAAATCCATTTGCATTTCCTTTGTCAAACTGGCTCTATCACCCCTGACCCCACTGTAACTCATCCTACACCCATCCCTGACCCAGGTGAGCAGCCACTGCCCATATTCCAGTCTCTTTATTTTCAGCTCACTCTGCTACCCAGCCCTTGCCTCTTGGAACCTTTCTTTACCAAGTTTTCCCTTTCCATTTAATGTTTACCATTACATTTCATCTAATCTTAAATGCTTAAGACCAAATTTCTCATTTTTCCAGAGCTCCAACTTGCTTTTTACCTCTCCAGCACAGGTCTGTCCAATTCTAAAGCCCAGTTTCTCTTAATCCCTAAATTTCTTACAATCTAGTGTTTTCACTCTTGCCCATTTTCTTTCTCAAGATCTAGGTCAGTTTTTTCTTAAAGAAGCCCTGCCCAAATGTCCTTGACTTGTGGTTTTCAGTTCTATGGGCAAGCCAAACGTGGATGCACACAAAGGAGATTTATTAATAAGAAAAAAAATCCAGTGATAATTTATTGCTTGGATAGAATTTAACATAATTAATGTAAAATTCAGAAGTAAACAAATATTAGAAGCAAAACATAACTACAGTGAGTTACCAACTGGAGGTAATAAAACGAGAAACTAATTATTATTTGAGAAATCAGATATTACAGATTCTTTTCTTTCTAAAACACATCAAGGTGTTATTCTCTTTTGTGCCCTACCTACTGTCTCTCTGAGTCTTTATCTGTGCTAATAATAATTAGTCATGGATCTTGTAAGTCCATTCCTCCCAAATCTGCTGTTTTAGTAATTGGTGCAGGATAGATACATCTGATTAAGGGACTAGCAACCACTGTCTCTCAACCACTTTGACACTCAAACAAACTTCAGATTTCCTCTATGTAGACCAGAGGACATTCTTTTGGCCTCCTGGATCACAACGCTTCATAATGAAAATATATACTGAAATGAAAACTACATGAACTAAGGGCTCAGGTAAAGAGACAAACCTCTCTAAGCTGGAAAAGATTACTACCGCCTAGAGACCCTGAATATAACCCTCCTTTGGTTTTGTCTGCCAGATCCTGTTCTTCAAGATCAATCCTATTGGCCCTACATGTTAGGGATGCTTTCAACACATACAGATATAAATTATGTGACTAAGAGAAAATATTTATTTACGCTCAACTTTAACTCTGCAAGGATTTTTTTTTCCAGTGATAAAACTTTAAAAAAATAACTGGTAGTCAATAGGTATTAGACATAGAGAAGATTGCAGACTACCACTGCTGTGTAGACCCCTTTTATTTAAGCTATATGTGAGATATTAATATTATTATTAACAGCAACTATACATTGATCATTCTAGACAATGTGCATAGGGCTTAATATTTCATTATTTTAACAACCCTATGAGGTTGGTACTATTACTATTCCCACTTTCAGAAAACTGCACTTAAGAAAAGTGAGGTTTTAAGAGGGCAGATCATATGCTTCAGGTCACACTGGTGGAGGGAAGGATTTATTCCCAGTTTGTCAGATTCCAGGGCCCATCTTAAATCAGCTCTCTCCACTTTATTAGTTTATCAGTGTCCTATATTTTAGCAGTACACATCTACCTGAGGCCAAACACTGGTTTGAGAGCTGCTGGGAAGCACCTGAAGTTTCCTGTTACCTGGAGTGGAGGTAAAGTCTCCTGGGGCACAGAGCATGCTGATCCTCAGTCAGGGCTTGGTCTGGGACTCAGAATCCCTCTCAAAATAATATTCCATGCCATGGAGCTGCCATAAAAGTGAAGTGTACTTCCCATTCCTAGCCTAGAGGATGAGGTTCAAACACCTCTGTATAGCAAAATCCTGTTGAAATTCTTTTCCAGCTTTAGATGTAAGCTTTTCCTCCTCAACTTCTATCAAGTGCCCTGTACACACATTCTCTGAAATGCTGTGCACTTCTTCCTAGGCATCCATGTCTGTGCCCTGATCTTTGCTCCTTTTACTCTTCTGAAAATATCAACTCATCCTTCAGAGTCCAATTCCTATATTACCACCTCTGTGCGCTCCTCTCCAATTCTCCGAGGAAGAATGAATTACCATACTGTTTTTGTATGCACCTCTGGTATGATACCTATTATGTCATATCAAAGTTGTTTGCATTCTTTCCACCTTTACTTTACCACTAGACTTCTCCTCTTCCTCCTTACCACACATTTCAGTCCCTACCCTGATCTAGAAAACCACGAATTCGAAGACAAATGAATCAGGACCTTGGAAGTGGACCGACTTCTAAAATAACTAAAAAAGCACAATATTCTCCTGTGTCCTGAGCACTTAGCATGGCATCAGCATGTAAGAGAATGTTTCATGTTTATTGAATTTAATTCCAAGACTACTCTTCCCATAATACTATTTCCTACTTCCAAACTTCTCTAACACATTTTTGTGCCCTCTTTTGGTACCAACTATCTTATATTTGAAGGACATTACTCATTTATTCAGTTTTCAATATACTTTAAAAATATCCTCTCTCATTTGATCTTGTGAACAAATTTGTAAATTAGTTAAAGATTATCATTCCCATTTTGCAGGTGAAACATCTGAGTCTTGAGTAAGTGATATGAATAATAAATGGAAACAATGGCTACTCGCACTCATATGATGTGATCCCTAACCCTGTTCTTTCTACTAAGTTGCTTTTATTGTTGTTTTAATAACATACATGTCTTCAATTAGATAGTACACTCCCTGAAGGCAGGATCCTTGCTTTAAACATTCCATGACCTCCATGCACATAGTTATGGACTTATTTATAGTATACCAAGGTAGAAAGTTACATATATAAGATTTCAAGTAAAGATTATTATAGAAATTGAGACACTGAATATTTATAATATTAGGACTCAGAAAAGCATGTCTGAGGCGGGGTAGCATAATGGTTAAATATATGAGTTCTACACAGGTCCAAATACTGGTTCTGCCCCTTAATAGCTGTATAACTTTGGGCAATTTACTAAACCTTCCTATACCTTAATTTCTTTCTTGGTAAAATGAAAAAAAAAATAATAATAGCAGCAACAACAACACCTCATAAAATTGCTGTGAAGATTAAATGAATTCATAGTTGTGAAACACTTTGGAATGAAGTCTAGCTCTTAGTAAGTCCTTATTGTTAATCATTATTCTTCTTCTGTAGTTATAGAGGATTTCCTGGAGTTCTCCTGCTGATTCTTGCAGTCTAATGAGCCTGAAAAATGTCCCATAGTTAGAGGCCAGAGTCTCAAAATACTGGCTTTTAGGATCTCAGTTACATTCCCAAACATGGAACAGAATAGGCTAAGCAACTTAAGGCCTTTTACCCAACCCCAATTCACTCTACTGATACTTCTGCAATTCTGACACGATGAGACAAACAAACCTGTCACAGAGTAACCTTAGACTATTTGAGGACTTCTTAGGGCAGACAAACCTGTAAAACAGCTGTTGGGCCTGAAGCCTAAGCTCACTGATATTATCAAATGCCTTGGTAAAGTCAACAAAATAATTTTTCATGGTGTTCCTGAATTTGGTCTGTGTTTGCTTTCCTGCAAAGGTCAAACTCACCTTGTGGCTTAAAACTGCTCATTTATTTTTTCTTTCAATTTCTGAGCTCTCAGGTTGTGCCAGGCAATGGGGATACACAGGAGGGCAGACAATCTGACTTTAAAGAGCTCACAATGGCCTGGTGTGGTAAGTACACCAGAGGTGTGTTTCTCGGGGTACAGAGCTGGCTTATTACCAAACAGTAGACCCCGCCAAAATGTGTTCAGAGATGAGGAGTGATCAAGTGGCCAAGGCCATATGTTTTGTTTCCATTCTCATCGATTGTGACTACTTTGACCTTGGATTCCTCACCTGTATGGAGATGGTTCTCAACAGGCAGCAATTTGCTCCTCAGGGAACATTTGGTAATTTCTGGAGATATTTTTTATTGTCACAATTGAGTGGAGAACTAATGGCATCTAGGAGGTAGACGCCAGGGTTGTTGCTAAACACCCTACATTATACAGGACAGCCCCAGAACAGAGAATTATTCAGCTCAAAATGTCAATAGTGCTGAGGTTGAGAGAAACTCTGAGCTGTAGATGTCTCAGTTTCTCTCTAGCTCTGAAAATTCTGTTTTCTCAAACCCTTTGTTTCTTTTAAACTGAAGCAAATGTTTAAATAGCAGCTTTCTTCTCTTTTGAGGGGAAGGTTTCTAATAATGTAAATACTTAATAATGAAATGCCAGAATCACCATTCCTGCCAGGCTGCCAATCAAGTGATGGGAAGTTTATTACCTCAAATCTTAGCAAGAATCTCTGAATCAACAGCCAACTTACAGCTCTCTGCAGGCTGAGGATTTCCGTGAATAAATAACGGAAATCTACATATTATTCAAAACCTTTGTTTTAGACAGCAGTTTCATGATTTTCTCCCCCCCTACTTTTTATAAAGGTTATTAACTGGGATCACTGGCTTGAGTTGCATTTATTTTCCTAGCTCTTACCTTTTAGATTGACATGCTCTGAGCAGTGAAATGGTTAAATGCAAGCAGCAATCAAGATTGCCAGATAAAGTACAGCTGAGAATACAGTCAATAATGTTGCCACAACTATGCATAGTGCCAGGTGGGTACTAGACTAAAGGGGGGGATCTCTGCACAAATTATATAAATGTCTAACCACTATGCTGTACATCTGAAACTAATATAAAATATTGAATGTCAACTGTAACTAAAAAAAAATATTGGGTTGTCGGAAAAGTCATGACGTATTTTTTTCTATGTTTTTCATTGCAAAAATGCGTCATGACTTTTCTGACAACCCAATAAATAAAAAAAATTAAAAAAGAGTGCCATAAAGATATCTATTAATCCTCAGACTGGATTTCAAAATCCCAAGAATTCCAAATTTGCTTTATTGTGGGGGCCAGCCAAGTGCTCAGTTGGTTAAGAGCATGAGCTCTGAGCAACAGGGTCGCCGGTTCGATTCCCACATGGGCCAGTGAGCTGCCGCCCAACTGAGCTGCCACTGAGCTGCCAACAGGTGGCAGGATGGCTCAGCTGGTTGATGAGAGCATGTGCTCCTAACAACAAGGTTGCTGGTTTGACTCCTGCATGAGATGGTGGGTTATGCCCACCCACAACTAAGATTGAACATGGCACCTTGAGCTGAGCGGCCGTGAGCTGCCGACCGGCAGCCATGGATGGTGAATGGACTTGGAGTCGAGCTAGCTGTGCCCTTCACAACTAAGATTTAAGGACAATAACTTAGCTGTTCCCCTTCCCCAATTCCCCAATAAAAAAATAAAATAAAAATAAATTATTTTGCTTTATTGTTTTATAACTTCTAGGCATTTGCATTTCTTTTTGACTCTTCATCTGCTTTAGACCCCATGGCTCTCAAGAGGTAGAGGCAGGTTAGCTCTGAGAAATTCTCCAAGGAAAAGCAAGAGTACAGAAGCATCCTGGAGTAGGGCTCTCTTCTCTTAGAGAGCAAAGCTGGGTTGTGTCACTTCAGTCCACCTCTCAGTTAAAGGAGAGTCTGCAGGTAATGACCAACTGGGGCTCATTGCAAACAGGGCTTCGGGGTTGACAGAGCTGTAGACATTATTGGCTTCTAGCTGTGGAGTTATAAAGATCTGGATTTTCTAATCCTGACTCTACCATTTAACAGTGACCTTGAGCATGAACTTTAAATTCTCTAAACCTCAGTTTCTTCATCTCTAAAATGAGGATGATAATAGTACCTATTTCACAGATTTCTTCTGGGGATTAAATGAAATGATGATGTCAAGTGGCTGGGTGTTACTACGTTCTCCATTAAAGTGTGGCAGTTGTTGATGCTGGTGTTGTGGTTAGGGCTCAAGCATAAAAAAGGAGAGAGATAGGGTTCAGTGTCATCCAGAGAGAAGGAAAGAAGTAGCATTACTCTGATGAAGAAAAAGCACTCACTTTTGTTTTTGGAGTAAAAAACCCTTGTTTATATGCATTCCTCACCAGAATTCTACCCCATGCTTTTTGGGGGAAAAAAAGAAAGAAAGAAAGAGAGCGAGAGCGAGCGAGAGAGAGAGAGAGAGAGAGAGAGAGAGAGAGAGAGAGAGAGAGAGAGGGGAAGGTAGTTATGAGTACTAAGACTACAATGAATTGAAAGATGCCTCTATACTCCTGTACTCATATAGGTCCCTTCCACAATTCTTTCTTTCATCTCCAACCTACATGAGCTACACAGAAAGATGTAAGCATGTGTAGATCAAGTTATGACCATAAAGAAGGAAAAAACAGAAAACTTATAGTTTCTGTATGTTTTGTACAGAAATGTTGTATGCATGTGAACACAGAGGTAAATTTAAATTTAAGCCCCTTGGTGGAGAGTCATGTTGGGTCAGCCCCCACACATGAACTTGTTCTTGCCAAATGCATCTCACCTATCAGTGGCATCCTCTTTGGATACAAATGACAGTCTTACCCAGAAATGGTCCAGCCCAGATCCACACTGGCTTGCAAAAGAGGCAATGGATGCCTCTTGCCTCTTCTTCTGCCCAACACTTTAGGGCTATACAAGAGTGACACATGATAAAATATCAGAGATGCCACTGATGGTGTGAGTGGACACACGATGGCCTCGTTCCTTCCTGGCAGCGCCTGCTGTTTGAACATTTCAGTATCAGAGCCAACTGGAATCCAACCATGACTGGAAAACTTTGAACTCTCTAGGAGAAATCTAAGCTGCTAAAGTAAATTTAAAACTCAGCCAAGAAGAATTCTATTGAAATAGGTAGCCAATCAGGGCTTACATTAATTCTGAATTCCTTAGCATAACCTTTAGTTTCTGGTTACTTACCAAAGTGTTTCCCGTCACAGACACAGGAAGTCCTGCATGGCCGTCACATCTGTGAAAAGAATTTGAAATAATTTCTTTGAAGAAGTGCCTAACTTTTACCAGGAAGAAAATCAACAGCACATTATATCTTGATATACTGAGAGGATACATTTCTAATGCTCCGAAGGAAGACATTTCTTGGCTAGTGCATTGTAGGAAAAAATGTCAGAAACCTTTTCCTATGATTGCTTAGGATCAATGTTTTACATCTTTGTCACTCAGATAGCCAAGAAGAAATTACATCATAGTGGATTTGTATTTGAACACAGCATAAAGGCATAATAACAACATCGTTACATTTGTTGAGTGCTTACTCTGAGTGCTGGCAGTGTTCTTACACTTTATGCATATGCTAACTCATTTAAATATATTACTCTTGTGAAGTGGATACTATGACTTCTCCCATTTTACAGACCAGGAGATGGAGGTACAGAGAAGTGAGAAGACTCTGCCCAAGGTACACAGGCTGACTAAATCCAGAGAGCTCTCCTTCTCAACCAGTATGACACACTGATTCTTCTTGCAAATGAGAAACAGATTTTTTGTTTCTGTACGTTTTTGTTTTAAAGAGAGATTAGATCAGGACCATACTCAAGAATTCATAAGGGAACTTTTTTACAAGCACACCCTAGAAAGATTTCTGAATATATCTTTTTATAAAGATACCTTATTTATTATGAAACCATCTTGGAGAACAATTTTGCTTTTACTATTTATGTTGCTTTTCTATAATTCAGGAGGAGGCAAAAAATTTACAAGACATAGGTCCAAAATTGAGATAGATGTTTGATCTTTTAAATCTATCATCCTATGCCAAGGGGTGCTCTGCCTGAATTACAGCTCAAGATTTAATAGACTGTGGTGTGCTCTGCCTGAATTACAGCTCAAGATTTAATAGACTGTGGTGACTCATTGCTCTGTATGAAATCAGGTCCTCTCCTTTACGAAGAGAACTACAAAGGGAATGAAGAATTAAATGAACTACGACTCTAGGTCAAAAGTGGCAAGACACAGTTTTTCTTCTTTCAAACTCCTAGCTGCTTCATGATTCACAAAAGCTGAGCATAAAACCTGGAAGGCAAATAATTTTATATCTATATATATCCACATGTATTTTACAGTTTAGCTCAAATTTTAAACAGAAATTGAAATTAATATTATGGCTTTTTTTTCATATTACTCTGAAATACCAGTTCTATACTTTATCATATCTAGAAGTTAAATACTGCTTTTATTTTTATTCTTCCTTTCTCTACAGCTTTATTGAGCCTGCATGTCTCCTACATACTAGGTACTATTTTGAGTGCTTTAGAGGAAACAAATATAACTATGATAGCGACCCTGTTCTCTGAGAGCTTTTGCAATAGAAAGGATTAGATACATAAAGAGCCGAAAAACAAGCCAAGACATTATAAGGACAATAAAGACATGTAAGTAAAGTACACTGAAAATGCAGAGGGGCCTTGACCACTTCCTGGGATGAACAGGGAAGGTGACAGGAAGAAGATGGTGGTTGAACTAGTATGAGAGGCAAGAGACAGCATGGGCAAATGCCTAGAGATGGGAAAAAGCGAGGAGAGGTGGAAACTGGCAAGTAATTCAATTTGCCAGGAGCCAAGAGAACATGCCAGATGGTTAAGATTCTTTACAGAGCCCTGTGGGGCTGCAGCCCTCTCCGTGCACCCACAGAGCTCGACACTCTCATCCGCTCCCCAGGCCTCTAGTCTGATTCGGAATGAGGACAGCAGGAGCAGGAATCCGTTTCTGAGGCTGGCAGGTGGGTGGAAGATGCGACTTCAGAGGATACCTAGAGCACAGTTGGACAGAGCACCACGGAGTACGAGAGTATGCTGCAAGTGAATGCATGCTCCCTGAGGGTGTGCAAGGCCATGTGCCATTGTGAATTTAGGTAGCAGGGGACAGATTTCAGCCGGCTTGGAGGCCCAGAGTCTCTGCACCCACTCCCAGGCCCTCCTAAAAGTTGTTTCTGATGTGAGTGTCTTCCACTTGTACAGTGAACAAAAGCAACAGTGGTAGCATGAAAACTGTGCTGGTAAAATCCTCTGGACTTGGTGATTTCAAGGGATACAAAGCTACCACATCTTCTGCATTTACTCTCAAATTCTCCTGATGCCAGGTCTTAAAGATCTCTCACACACGGCCCCCCTTCTCCAATTCCACTCATCCTGCCTCATATCAAACTTTCACAATTTCTCTCCTGAACTCCATCCTTTATACCATCAACAGAGAAATCTGTCTAAAATGCAAATTTGACCTTATCAATTGCCTACTTAAATTCTTACACGGTATTATTATCCAAAGTCTTACCACACAGGCTCTTCTTTTATCTGATGAGCTCCCTCATCCCCCAGACAACCCTTCACCCTTCAAGCTTTATCTCCCCACACTCCACACTTCCATAGGTACCTGCATGTTAGGCTTATGAAATTTACACCACCTCTGTAAAGTATTCTGTTATCTCCATACCTTTGCAGCTATCATTCAGAATTTCTCTTTTTTTTTATAAGATTTTATTGGGGAATTGGGGGAGGGGAACAGCACTGGGGAATTGGGGGAAGGGGAACAGACAAGTTGCTGTCCTTTTGTTCTTCAGTCTAGTTGTGGAGGACGTTGCTTCACTGGCCCAAGTTGGTACCATCATTGCGCTCTTCCCGGGCGAGGCAGATCAGTCGCCAGCTTCTGGACGGCCGCTCACGGCGGCTGCTGGCCGCTCACGCTGGCTGCTGGCTACACACGGTAGCCCATGGCAGCCCACTGCAACAGGGGCTGCAGCCTACGCCGTCGCTGGCGACTCACGGCAGCCCAGCTCCAGGTCGAGCTGTTGTTCAGCATCTTCGCTGTAGAGGGCAGTGTCACTGGCCCTCATATGTGGGATCCGAACCTCTGGCGTCCCAAGCCAGTTCTTAACCATCGCGCCACTCGGCCGGCCCCCAAGCCACTCTTAACCAATGAGTCACTCGGCTGGCCCAAGAATATATTTTTTAAAATTACATATTCTTTTCTAACCAAAACCCGGGGTCATTTCTCCCAAGTGTTGGTGGAGCACACTATAGTTACTGGCCACTGAAGAGCTTCACCTGGATGACAACCAGCAATTCAGACCCTCCACGTCCAACGTGCACTCTGTGTCCTCCTGGAATTCCACACCCACTCCTTCCTACATGATGAATTCACAGATCCTGTTGATTCAAACTGAGAAATCCCTCTCAAAGCCATCCATATCTCTACATCTCCCTGCCTTTTCCCTCATTAAAGACATTTATCATCTCTTGCCTTTATTATTGCAACAGTCCCTTAACTGTCCTTCTGTCTCCAGGTTTTGTCCCAATCCAGTCCATTCTCTACACGTTAGCCAAAATGATCAGTATAAATTGAAACATCGTTGCCTCTTTCCTGCTTAACATTTTAATGATTCCCACTTGAGCCCAGGCAAAAGTTCAAATTCTTCTCTACCTTCAGAAGAAGGTCATCTAGTGCCTGCATACTTTCCAGCCTCATATCTTACCTTCCTTTATCCCTTCTGCCATAGGGAGTTTGCCACACCTCTGAACCTATGCACTGTTGTTCTTTTGCCTGAAACAGTTTTCTGCCATTTGCTTGCCTGGATAACTCTCTCATCCTTGAAGAATCATCATAGACGTCATTTTCGCCGGGAAACCAACCCAGACTCTAGACACCCAGACTTAGGCTCTTAGTCTAAGATACTCACTCCTCGAAATGTGCTCCCAGAGCATACAGAACTTCATCGTCTCAGCCCTAGCCTATGTTTCTCTATTCTCTGTGTGTTGTCCTCACAAGACTACAGCCTGGGAAGCCAAGGACTGTAGTTTTGTTCCATAGCGCTGCACATGGTATTTGTTGAATACATGAGCAAATGGGTTTCATTTTTATCCTCATCACACCTGCTCTTCCTCCGATATTCTTCACATCACCCATCTAGTTTCCTAAGTCAGAGTGGAGAGTTCACCTCCCCTCTCCTTTCTGTCTCACCCACCACATCCGATTACCAGGTTCTCATGATCCCACATTCTCAAGTGTGCCCAGATCTGTCCGTTTGTGCCCTCCTTGTTGCTGCTACCTTAGCTTGGGCCACAATCATCTCAACAGCCTCTTACCTGGTCTGTCTGAGTTGAGTTTTGCCTCCTCAAATCTGTTCTCTGTGCTACAGCTAGAGCAGTTGCTCAGCCTTGGCACTACTGGCATTTCTTTGGTGTGGTCGTCTGTCACATGCATAGTAGGATGTTTAGCAACATCTCTGAAGCCTACCGACTACATGGCAATAGCTCCTACCCTTCAGTTGTAAAAACTACTAACATCTGCAGACATTGCCAAATGTTTTTTGGGGGCAAAACTGCCTCTGGTTGAGAAACACTGATCTAAGGTGATCTTTCTAAAATGAAAATCTGATTATGTCACTTCTCTGTTTAAAAACTATCAATGGGGAGGAAAAAAACTATCAATGGAAAAAATATATACATATGCAAGAAGTACACCAAGATATTAGTGTTTGTCCAGAGGGTTGTGGGTAATTTTATCTGATATATATATATGTATATATATATATATATATATATATATATATATATATAAAATAAGGAAAATAATGGTATTATTTAAAAAAGTAAAAAAGTGATTTACGGCCTCCTGCTGTCTACAAGATCAATCAAGTCCAAGTTCTTAGCATCGCATGCTTAAAGTCCCAACCTCTGGCCTCTGCCAATATGCCCAACCCCATCTCTTATCACTCTCACCTTAGACTTGGTCATTGAATCTCAATGATCTAGATGAGTTGCTCTTTCTAGTCTGTGTACCTTTGCTGTGTCAGTTTTTCTGCCTGGTGCAACATCCGGACTCTTAATTGCCTAGGTTAGTACTATGTGTCTTTCAAAAACTGGCCCTCTTCTTCCAGGAAGCCTTCTGAATTCCCCAGTCTGAGTTAAGTGTTTCTCCTGTATGTTCTCATGGCAGGAATGCCGTGCATCTATTATAGCACTCACCATATTGTACCATAATCATCAGGGCACTCAGCTGCCACTCAGGTTGCAGTGAGGCCAAATGGCATCCCTGCGTGAATTCTAAAAGCATCCCTTCCTCAAGATCCTTACTGCCATTTGTCAGGAAACTGTCATAATAAATATATGAATCCATGATGATCATGATGTGATTGGTACTCCCTGGAGATTTGTGGCATACCTCCTGCCCCACCATATGCAGTAACCTGGTGTTCCCTACTAGATTATGAAGTCCTCCAGGCAGGGACTTTGCTTTATTTTCAAGATTTTATCTCCAACACTAAACGTAGTATCTGAGTCACAGTAGTACTTTAATAAAAGCTTGATAAATAAATGAAAAAGAAACCATCAACTCAGCTACCAGGACCCATGCCAGAACTCTGATGGCTCTGAGCATAGAGGAAATAGGAGGCTATGCTGCAATGGTTCCCAAACCTGAATGAATATCCAAATATCCTGGAGAATTACAAATAAATTACAATTAAAATAAATTTATTAAAAATAAATAAACTTCCCTGTGCTCTACTTCAGACCTTCTGAATCAGAATCTCAAGGTTCGGGCTGGATTATCTGTCATTATTCTTAAATTGCTGATGAGATTATAATAATGATCACCCAGATCCACTGGGAACTGCTGGCCACCCAGGATGAAACTCAAAACTACGCCCCTTGTCTTGCTTCTCTCTCCCGTCACCGTAACCCTGCTGTTTACCTATGGATACCACACCTGGTGTGGAGCATTCCCAAAGAAGGATCTTGCTTACTCTGACTTCTTCAATCTAGGTGTCTTGGATTTCTGTGTCTTCCAACTCAAGCATAGGCACTCAACTAGGAAAGAGGAAGAGAGCACAGTAGGACACTTGTAGCATATGAGAGAGAAAATAAAATAACAGCCAACCAGAATCCAGGCAAATAATATAATCTGCCTTTTTAATTTTCCAAAAAATATTTGAACTTTTTGATTATGTAGACTGAAGTTGCAGCTGGATTGCCTAAGCTGAGTACACCCTATGGATCAAGCAAATTTGGGCAGGTCTGAAGAGCAGCTAGGTGGATCCAACAAAGATCTTTGCATCTCAAGGGAAAAATAAATTCTCCTAAAGGAATAGGGTAGTGCAATGCATACAGTCACTCCACGATAGCAGTTGTCACTCTGTAATCACACCTATGTGGTAGGAAATACATACTATCGATATATGCTAAGCACTGTGATAGTCCTCAAAGGAAAGAAGTGATCTTAAATTTAATTGCATATGTTATTCATGAGTTTTATGAACTAGTTCCCTTGTATTTGCCTTTTGCCTAGTCCTTGGGACTACAACAAAGGAAAGAGTGGGGGGCAAAAGTCCACATCCCTAATATCACCATCATGAACTGGTGGCACATGACTGCACAGCTTTGAGAATGTCTGTGGACATGAGGGTAACTGGCACCCTTGAAGGAGTGACTTCATTGTGGAGTATGTTGGAGCATGAAACAGACACATGCCACCTATTCATGGTGGGGAGGACATCACTGGAATAACCAGAGGTCTGGAATAAGAAAGGAACTGTAGATGTTTCTCGGCTGCCAGGAAGACTGCATTGGTAAACTCATACACTATTGGTTACTGCTGAATTATGAGGAAGGAATTTGTGAGGCAATGGGGTTACTGAAATTTTGTGGTGGGGGCTGAGTACTGTATGTCACAGGCACTATATGCCCACCACAAGATGTACAGAAACGTGATTTACAAGGAAATGTCAGGGGAAAGGATACATGTAAAACATGTATATTTTTCTTGAATTTATTGGCTAACAATAAATTAAAACATAAATGGAAAATATTTTTCAGGGCCAGCCAAGTGACTCAGTTGGTTAAGAGTGCGAGCTCTGAGCAACAGGGTTGCTGGTTCAATTCCCACATGGGCCAGTGACGCTGTGCCCAAGCTGAGCTGCCAACAGGTGGCTCAGTGGTTAGAGTGTGCACTCTTAGCAACAAGGTTTCCAGTTGGACTCCCACATGGGATGGTGGGCCACGCCCACTCGCAACTAAGATTGAACATAGCACCTTGAGCTGAGCTGCCGCGAGCTGCTGATGGGTGGCTGGATGGCGACTGGACTTGGAGCTGAGCTAGCTGCGCTCTCCACAACTAAGATTGAAGGACAACAACTTGGCTGTTCCCCTTCCCCAATGCCCCAACACTGTTCCCTTTCCCCAATTTCCCAATAAAATCTTAAAAAATTGTTTTTTCTTTTTTCCTGGGGGTGGGGAGGGGTCAAAGGGTACAGTTCCATCATTTATAAATAGGATTAAAATAATAATGGGATAATACGGGAAGTGCATACATTTGGGAGGAGAAACTAGTCATATTTGAAGCACAAATAGCAAAATTTTTGCCTTGTTATTAATTCATGAAGTCACTATGTTCCCATGGCTTTTTATCTATTGATAATAGGAAATCAAAGCTTCAACATACCATATACTTTTATTGGGTGGGCCTTTCTAAAATGAACAAGTATATCTGGTGAAACGATGAAGTCCATTTTGGGGGCATGGGGGAGAGTTACCCATTATCCAGTGTCATTTCTCAATTAAACCATAGCTTAAAAGAGGAAAAGACATTTCTCTGATACTCAGCTCTTTCAGGGCTGAATAGAAGGCTGTGTTTTGCCTAGAGAGGTTTGGTTCTCTTTCTGTGATTTGCAAAAGATCCTATAAACTGCTTTGCTGACTTGTTCTCCAGAGCAAGTGTGACCAAGTCAAACCTTGATGACTTCAGCAAGTAGAAACCTGGCAGAGAATGACTGTACTTCCCCGAGGGCCCTTTGTCAGTTCCTCCCATTGCAGTCATAGGCAAGGAGGAACTCCTGAATCAGTCTGTATTTGGAAGGTTGATTTTGTATTTTGAGAAATCAAAACTGTCCAACAAAATTTGGTTCTACTTAGAGTAAAGAGTCCTTTGGAATTTATATTCCTACCTAGTACCATAGCACAACACTTCCTTAACCCACCCCACCCCCCTCACACACACTCAGGATTTATATCCAAATATTCAGGTCACATGGATATTTAAAAATAAAAAGGAGATATTTTTACATGTTATCTTCTAAAACCTCTCAGGAGCAAAAGGCAGTGCCTTCATGATATTCTGCACCAGCATATTAATGAACATTTATTGCCACTTATGTTTTGAAAGTAAAATGTATTCAAAGATGACAAATTCTGAAAACTGCTAAACATACGCATATGCTTAAATAATGAAATGTTTAATTTCTGCATCCTGGGTGGTATGTTTCAGTTCATCTGGTTAAAAGAGAGCTACAAGTCATTTTGGTATATAAGCAGAATGGTTGTTGCTAAACAGCATTTTGCAAGTTTCATTTTTTTTTTCAGTTTGGTTTCTAACTAAAACACATGACACCTGAACGAAGATTATAGGTATTTAATCTGATCCATTTTTGCAATAACTTGCAATATGAGCTTGGAAAGAACTTGTCCATAGAGGTAACAGGTTTCTCAACTTTTCCTAGTTTACTAATGTTAGATTGTTCAGCTATGTAAAACTCTGCCTTAAAATCACCTCAAACACAAATTATACCACAAGTCCCAGCTACCCCACACATTAGGAATATTTCTTTTCTCCTTAAAAGAAATTTTACTTACAAAGAAAATAGTCCTCATTTCAAAATTCCCAAACGAGAGCATTACTAATGTTTCAAACATTTTTACAAAGAAAAGCAACTCACCTATTTGAAGAGTATTTGCTTGTAAGTGACTCTGGTAGAGACAGCCACACAAATCTACATTTTGTTTAGCTCTTCATATTTCATCGAAGACAAAAAAGCCACCGGTGAAAGCTGAAGCAAAAACCCTTCCATCCGCCCAAGAGGGAGGGCAGAACGCTGTTCTCTAAGTCCAGGAGCTTCATCACATGTCCCACCTGCTGCTGCTGCTGCCTATTGTTCCTCAGCAGGAGTGACCTCCAAAACCTTTTATTTAAGCAGTGCAACGCACTCTTAATGGTTTGACGGCACACACACGGAACCCATCACGTGCCAAGCCAACACCTTAAGAGGGTGGGAAGCTTTTCAACCAGGAAGGCAAGCTGAAAATATTTCACAGTCAGCTCAAATGAACGGAAGCAAAGCCTTGCCTGTTTTTCACAAAATAATCAACAACATGAGTCAAGTTAAACTGATTTACACAGTTGTAAACCGGGAAACATCTGGAACTGTGCCACCACTGCTCCAAAAGCTTCCCTTCCTTCACCTGAAGTTTAAATTCTGTGCAACGACATCAGAATGGCTCTGAGTTTTCCTTACTCTCTTTGGTCATCTCATTTATGCTCATTTAGTACCTCATCACTCCTCGTAACCACAGACTCACATACTCCCCAAGGAAGAAGTAAATATATCTGCATGATTTAAATATATTCGCCTGACCAGGAAATAGACCAGACTCTTGGAGCAGTGTAGAAATTGTCAGTAATTATTTCCCAACATTTAACCCATTGTTCACCAAGTGCACCGCCTGGGACCTGTGCAGTTAGTTAGGAGTTGCATTTCAGGTGAGCCAAGTTTCAAGGTTTCACAAGGACTTTGTCCCTCTGCTAAGTCTTGTTTCCTTTGTTAGTTTAGTATCTGAATTTAAATTCTAAGAGCAAACATTAAACATTCTCAACACAAAACAGGCTCCTGGCCTCTGGCATTGGGTAACTAGTGAGCTGTCCCATAATCTGAATTTGACTCACCCTTTCTGTCCCAGCGACTGAAGCTTTAAAGGCTCCTTTCTGGATTTTTTAAATGAGAACAGGGAAGAAAATGATCTGAAGCTCAGACGAGAAGGAACAGGTGTTGGATTTCTTTGATTAGGTATATTTTTTGATCTTGATGTTTGTAAGTCCATAGGATCTAAAAGAAAATTGTAAAAATGTTGTATTATTAAAATATTTCCAGGTCAATAAATCTCAGAGAACTAAGGCTTCATTCACTCTCTTCCCTCCTTTCTCTGTTGTCTAGAGATGCATTAGGCATCCCCACGTGAAGACCTCAGGAGCTAAGAGGAGTCCTTTGCCTCTAATGGCTCTGCTAAGTGGAGAAAATCCTCAGAAATACTAGGGAGTCTTTAATACGCACTGTGGATGGCAGTTCTGTGAAACCCTCCCTTCACACCAGCTGTGTGAATCTAATCTTACTCAATGTGTCTTCCCCATGGCTATCCAAAACAAGAGGTGAGGTGTCAGGGACCTCATTCAGTTCTCATGTTGCTCTTAACCACTCTGTCATTCAGGAATTTTTATTTTAGTACTTTAAAACACAGTGATAGATACTATGTAATTTTTATATCAAAGAAAAAAAAGGAAAGGGAGATTAAGCCATTTAGAGTGTTTCTAATTCCTGTCAAAAAATCTATCTCTATGTATATGTAGTTGCTATGTATATGGTTTATATGTGTGTATGCATGTAATATAAATATGTATAATATATGTGTAGATAATACATAGTTTTATATATGAGTATTAAAATTCTAAGGCAAAGTCAACATATACAAAGTTCATAATACTGTACTAATTTGGACATGCTGAGTTTAGAATATCAAAGAAATTCAAGGGAAGGAGAAAGTTACTATAGCGTATGTTGTGTCATTGGAATTAACCCCTGATCATTTGCAAAAAGTGAATGAATTCACAGCCTCAAAAACTTAAGAAAAGTTTATTCAAGAAGCAAGATACCGGCATAGAAGTTTCTGGGGCAGACAACTGCACCTAACTTTCGGTTAGTTTTTTCTTATATAGGAAAGGGTAGGTCAATTTCCTTACAACAGGAGATGTGATGTATAGACTGAGGTCATTTGATTGACATATGTTGGTTATATAACTAGTTTCTTTCTGCGCATGCTCTTACCCAGAATGCATACAGAAAAATCCATGGGGGGGGGAGGGGTAAGCCTTAATATTCATTTTATTTTAATTGTATTATAATGAGACTAGAGTTCAAGTAACGGACAGGTTTTAACAGTTTGGGTGTGTGAGAAGAACCAGTTAATACCAGTTAGGTCTTATCTCCTTTTTTTAGGAGTGTTTGTATACCTTTGATTTATTTCTAGGGGATAAGCCTGGGCGGTTTCTGGGAAGGGGATGCAGGCCTGAGCAGTCCCCCTTCAGAGTCACTTTTATTAACCCTTTTTTGCTTCATCAGTATATATGGGGTTAATCTAAATATCTGAAATGTAAGTCAAGTCTTTTTAGATAGATTTGTATATTATGGGAGTTGCAAAATATTGTCAATATGTAAGTTTAGAAATATTGTTACACGTTTCTTGGTGTTACTAATGTTAGTAACCCATAAGCAAAAACAGCCAATGTGACTATCAGAAGAAAAACACTTAATACTTACATTTTATAATTTCCAGTGCACTTTGTTATTCTCACTATTGTCCTGTGAAAGCAGGTTTTATTATTCTTGTTCACAGATTTTTTTTTTTTAAAGTGATGGGTGAAGGCAAGTGACATGCTGGTGGTAGTCACACAGAATGCCCAAAGAAGGCATTTATTCAAAGCGTCTTATAGGGTTTAAGTTACCAATGTACCAGATGGGTAATAGCTCCTCTACCACCTTCTCCTTCCCTTCCCTCCTTGCCCGCTTCTCCCCTTCTCCTCCCTTCCTCTGTCTCCCCTTGTTCTGCGTCATCACTCTACTTATTTAAGTGCTTACTATGTTCCAGCTTAGTACTTTATACATAAAAATTTTATATAATTCTCACAACCACCCTATGAGGTAAGTATTATCATACCTATTTAAAGATGAGAAAATTAAGGCTTATAGAGAAAAAAGTAACTCTAACAGTGTCACATAGATTTTGATAGAATAGAGGCTATATAGAGAGACAAGAGTGGAGATTTGAATCCATATATATGGCTCTGTGTTCTTAACCACTATGCTATCTTGACTAACTCTTAAAGCATACCCCTAGACATTATAGTACATTTTCTGGTTCATTCTTTTTATTGTGTGTTGTGCTATGAAACTTTTGTACCTTATGATTTAAAAATAGTCCTAAACATGGATTGGTTAACTTGGAGGTCCACTGAGCCGTTATCTACAATGCCATGCCATAAGAACAAAAAAATTAGATGTAAATACTTTTTCTCACCATTTTCTGCCATCCCCTTCTTTAGCCTGTATGTAAGGGGTTGTTTTAACATTTGGCTAACATCCGTTTCATTGCAAAACTTTTTTCTTTGAATTTCTTCAAACCATTCACCAGTCACTCCTTGAAGCCATCTGATATCTCTCTTTGTTTTCTGGAGTTTGCTGAAATAAAGAAAAATATCAATGCACCTTTAAATTTCTTCACATCAAGTGCAGACTCCTGTGATGGACTAAACTTGACCTATGGAGAAGCTGCATAAACTGTAAGTCTAGGGGGAGAAAAATGGCTCAAGCAAGAATTTCCTTTTTACCACTGTATTCTTCCAAATACAGTGACAATCTAAAAGTTTTTGCTAGTACTTAAAATACTCAAGTTGGTGAAAACAACATGGGTTGAACATTGTATGAACCTGGCCTAATAATGCAATTGAATGATGTTTTAATGACATGGAGAAACTAGAATCTTCTAGTTCTGATTATCCATTCATTGATTAATTCATGTTTATTGAGCAATGTCCATGTACCAGTCATGTGTAGGCAATGGGGATTCAACAATGAATATAACAGATAGGGTTCTTACTTACCCATCCAGTGGTCAAAGATAAAAGCTTACATACAGAAAAGAAATTATGGAATGTAATGGCCTTAGATAATGGAATTTTTTTAAACACAGAAGCCCATGGATGAGCACAGGGCTTATGCTCAAATAGTAAGAGAACTGTGATTTGATATAGATAGAAAAGGAAATTTAAAGCACAAATATGTCTGCCCCCCACTTTCAGAATACCAGAACGGAAATTCTATCATTACTTCTTCCTTCTCCCCTACTGTCTCCTGCTTAGTCCTTTTTCAAACAAAAATGTGGCTCTAAGCCCATAATTAAATCATTAGTTGTGATTCTTTTTTTAAAGCAGACCATTTTGCTCTATTTCAGGAGGACCCTAGAACTGTTTGGAAACGGGAGGTGCTCAATCCAGAGGGACATAGCCCTGGACTGGGGCAAACACAGCAGAAAGGGGAGTATGGAGAACATGATGACAATTCTCATAAAGCAGCCAGTTTGGCATAGCACTGATGAAAAAAGTCAGGCTTGTTGGGTTCCAAGTTTGGGAAGTTCTGCTGTTTTGGAAAGAATTTCATGTGACCCTGCGGTGGTTGCCCTTTATCCAGGGTCCTCGGTGAAGCACAAGTGTTAGGGACTTTGTATTACTAAAGAAGGTGGTGAGCAAGACAGCTTCAGAGTGGCAAACTTTGGGTTAAAGGCAATGAACTGAGATGGTCGCAACTCAGGCTCCTCCTTGGGGCTATGATACTGTCATTTCATGAAATAATGGAGAAGGAAGCTAGAGGCCATCCTGCCCAAACTTGCATTTTGAAAAGCATTAGGTAGCAGTCATTACATCCAGCCCACATAATTTGCACTAGTGCTTCCCATTTTGCCATTAACACCCTTCTGACACCTGGACACTCCTGTTCCTATTGCTACTTCTCTTACTAGCAGACAAGAGACCACAGGTACCTGCTGCTAGCTAGTACTGGCTGCCTCCAGCTAATTAACATTTCATTTCCTTTAATGTCCTACATTTCTGCAGGACCTCCACTTTCTTGAAGTCCCCCCAAATTATCAGACTCCCACATTCAGTACCATCCCCTCCTTCACTTCTCAGCACATCCATCTCATTTCAGAAAACAGTAAAGCTACCTGACTTAGGAACTCTTTAATAAACATAACAACATTTTTTTCTAAAGGCTCAATGTAACACAGACTCTCTTTTAAAATAATCACACTTCTTAATTCCACCTCAAGCACTCATTCCATTCTTACATACATATCCATCTCTGCCTGTTGCTTTTATAACTTCCAATGAAGTCAGAAATCTATACCTCTGTGTGACTATTCATATAGTTTGAATTCTACTCCAGGAAATAGATCTTAAAGAAATACCACGCCCAAAGTACATAATTTAACTGAACATTATGCAGTTGCTAAAAATAATTATGCAGGTGATGTAGCATCTTGGAAGAATGCATGTGACATAACATGAAGCAGGAAAACCAAAATACAACATTTAATCTATGATTATAAGGTATGTAAAGATGATGCACCCACTTGGACACAGTAGAGAAAAAAAATGAAAACACCTAATCTCTGAGTAAAATAATTACAGGTATCATTTCTATTTTTAGCTTTCTAATTATGTTTATTCAATAAGTACAATATGTGGAGCTATTTTTTTGTTTAATTGTGAATTTTTATTCATATTCTCATTTTTTCCATTATAATTTTTCTTAGCGATAGAGAAAAACATCAGTCATATTTTCCCAATCCTAACACAATTCTATCACCCTTTTGTTGTGATTTTAACTCTGCAATTTTCATGGTTCTAGGTATTTTTACTGTAACTATTTTTGCAGTAAACATCTTTGTTGCAAGCATTTTTGCCACACAACTAATTGGGTCTAAGGCAGTTTTGCCATGAAAGATAAAGTAACTGGTTGACAGTTCGGTTTACATATGGTAGACATAATGTATTTAAGCTAGTTATCAGTTGGGTTTCATTTCTCCATTGACA